GTGTGGCTGATCCACGGCACTCAGATATCTGGTCCAACATCCGTCTAGATGTCTTTGTTAAGGTATTTTTCAGATGAGATTAACATTTAAATCAGTAGACTTTAAGTAAAGCAACTTGTCTGCTATTACAGGGTTGGGTCTGATTCAGTCAACTAAAAGACTTAAGGGAAAAAGACTGAGGCCCCCCCACAGGGAGAGGGAATTCTGCTCCCAGACTTTCTTAGGACACAAACTGCAGTATAACCTCTTTCCTGGGTCTCCAGCCTAGGTTGTTCTGTAGATTTTGAACTTATCAGCCTCCATATATCCCTGAATCTTTAGATTCATGCATATAGACACACCCTCACACAGACTCATGCTCACTCTCGCGTGCGCTCTCTCTCTCTCACACACACACCCTGTTAGTTCTCTAGAAAACTCTGATTGATACAGATAGACATCAATGAACAACTTAGATATAATCCTGTTTCCACAGACCCTACAACTTAAGGGAAGATACAGACCGTGGAAACAAGCAAAATATTATATAGTAAATGCTGGAAGGTACTCCATGTAGTTGAAGCACAAAGGACAACACCTAATCTTGAGTTGGAGTGAAGTGAAATATATCTTGAGAACTGAATATGACAACCGGAATAGGAGTGAGCCAATCACAGGAACAGGGTGGTGGGACCAGGGATTAAACTGAGTATAGAACATATCTTCTCAACAGGAGTGTTACCCCACAAGCGGGAGAACATTGGTGCTTGGTAAGTGAAATAAATCTTAGCTGTTCTAATATTTGGTGACCATCCAAAGCACAACCCTATCTGAAAATGAAAAAATTTTACTCCTTAATAATTAATTGGGGGGGGGGTGGGAGAGAAGAGGAATGATTAAAAAAAAATGTCTAAAAGTCTCATGGGTGCAGTGATGAAAAAGTTTGAGAAACACTGATGTAGAAAGGTTGTTTGGATAAAGGCAACAATGATCACATGTGAAGCTACAGAGGTGAGAGAGATCTTAGAATTGTTGAAATATTAGGATGGTTAAGGCAGAGAGTTGGAAGGGAGTAGAGGCAGGGAGAACAGCACACTTATATTTGAATATGTACTTTGTGTTTATAGTCACATACTAAATAAATAGATACATTTTAAATAATTTTTAAAGCTGGTAAAAGACGTTATTAAACTACCTTTTTCTGTCTATTCCACTGGGACTTTTTAGTTTTATAATTGCAGTCTCTAGAACAACATCATGCTCAGGTGGCTATTTAATCATAATGCTCTTCTGAAAGGCACATTAACCTCTGGAGAATTTGCATGTGATTTACTTCACTGGAGTTTCAGAGATTAAAAATATGAGAGTGAAAAAAGTATTTTCCTTGGTTGTTCCATTATCTGAAATAGAAGGAGAACAATGGCCTGTTTAATAACCATTATCATTATCTTCCTCCTGGATTGAATTAAAATTACTTTAATATTTTATTAGAAAATTCTTTGCAAAAATGCTGCCGAACATATCTTTTTATTTCCACCAGCTTGTTAACAGTGAACTCAAAACTAATTCATCAATGCTTATGTATGCTGTATGATCATTTTAATTTTTAATATTTTTCTACCACACCCCTAGCTTCCTTGCTATAAGAAGAACTAATCTAAATGTCTAACATTCCTTTAAGAGACAGCATTCTAGTAATACTTGCTTACATGAAAGACACTGCATGGAAATAGTCCTGACTGTGTGCCTGTTACACTGTCTGGGTTCAGATCCTAAATTAAGTCTGTTTAGGTTTAAATGTCCCCCGGCGTTTGTAAATGTGGGGAGAATATATGTAAAGTTATGTGACCTTACTCTCTCTGTACCTTACTTACTTCATATGTAAATGATAGCTAATAATAGAACCACTAAGTGAGGTTGCTGTGAATATTAAATGAGTTAACTATGCAAAGCTATAACAGTGCTTAGCATATACTAAGTACTTGCAATATTACTTATTATTGACGTTGTGATGATGATGATTTGGACCCCTTATTAAGTAGTTTAAATACTATTTGTTGAGTGCTTCCTATATATCATTGTAGGGTAAGGTAAAAGGTGTCGGGCTTTTCTGCCCTTCCGCCATCAGGATAGATGAGGGAGCCCTGTGATCCTGGGTGCATGCCTGATGGCGGGCACCTGAAGTGGGTACACCTGCGCTAAAAGACTGATAATATAAGGGTGGTGCAGCAGAGTGCGGTGTGGTGGTAGTGCGGTGTTAAGGGTGGAGGAGTGGAGTGTACGGAGGAGTGTTGGAGCGACTACAAACCACGGCGAAGAGCATGTGGCTGCTAGAACCGTTCATAAACCTGCTCAGAATGGGTTGGTTGCTTTACAACTGGCGTAGACGGCAGGACGGTTCGAGGCAGGACAGCTCTACGCAGACGAAACCCTTTGAAATCTGGAGAGGGATCCCTGGATGGCCGGCCACGAGCAGATGGTACCCGGTGGCCGACCTCCTCGCCCAGTGGGCACCTCCCCAGGAATGGCCAGAGGTAGATGGATCCCCGGGGCAGTTGGAACAGGCCCTGTATGAAATAGAAGAAACCCTGAGTGGATGCAGTGCCCGCGAGGCGGCAGGAGCCGTGGGATGGGTGTTTCTCACGGCTCTGCGAGAGTCCAGGCGGAAAGAGCAATCTAGGATCCAGCAAGTACTGGATGAGATGCGAGAAGAGATACGAGAAGAGATGCGGATACAGCAACAACATTTGAGGATTCTGGAGGAAGAAGTTCGGAGAAACCGACCCACCCCTCCGGAGATGCCAGACTCCGTCTCAGGAAGGAAGGAGAGGGAGGCTGGCCCTTTGCGCGAATCACAGCCGGTGGTGGCAAACCAGCCTGCGACTCCAGAGATGCCTGACCCCTGCTCAGGAGAGGAGGAGAGGGAGGCTGAACCTTTGCCTGAGTCCCAACCGGCAGTGGTAAACCAACCCGCCACCCCGGAGATGCCGGACTCCTCTGGAGAGGAGGAGGAGGCCGGGCCCATGCTCTGGGCCCGCCCGGTGGTGACTCAGAAAATGAAGCGGCAGCGACCCATGGCCCCAGGGGGTCAGGCAGCGGGACCACCACAGATGACGGAATTTACTACCTACAGACCTTACACCCAGGCGGAACTGGTGGACTTGGGCAAACAGTTCCGCCAGAAACCAGGGGAACCCTTGGCAGCCTGGCTGCTACGTTTATGGGACCTGGGGGTGGATGGGATTATTTGCACGGCTCAAGAGATGGAGAGACTGGCCTCCGTGACTTCACACCCATCCTTGCGACAGAGGCTGCAGAACAGCCGGCGGTATGGCCAGGGCGACCACACCCTCCTGGAGTGGATAATGGCTGCCATACGGACAGTATGGGCTGATGCGGGAGATGTGCCGGAGACAGCAAGCGGATGGCAGACATACGCCGAGCTGGTGCAGGTACTTCGGGAATTGGGGATGTGGCAGGCCATGTTTAATGTGAATACGCGTGGTCCTGACGACGAGCGTTTCACAGCAGGAATGAGAGACTTGGTATTAAAGGATGCCCCCTCCTCTACATTTGGATCCCTCATGGCAGTACTAGCACCCTATGTGGGACGTCAGATACATGACGTCACCACCATGATAGCCAGCTTGGGAGAAGTTGAGAGCCGGCGCTCTCAGAAAGGAATACGGGTAGTTTCAGAAAGGTCAAAAGGAATGCCAAGGAGGGCAAGGAGGCCTCTTGGCATCACAGAACCTATAAAAGTCACCCGTAAACAAATGTGGATGGATTTAATAAGAGCAGGCGTAGATAGCACTAAAATAGACGCACAGCCCAATGCATATTTATTGGAATTATGGCAGCAGCTGCGAGAAGACCAGAGGTTCACACCCATGAGAAGGACTGCTGCTCAAGGGGCGCCTGGAAACCCCAGGCCTCAGGCACGCGCCCTGCGGCTGGAAGACCACTTGCTGCCAGCCCCGTCCTCGGGTGATGGCCTGATATCCTTTGAATAGGGTGAGGGCCAAGGAACCCGTCCACAGGGGACGGGCGGGGACCGGAGGCCACATGTGGAGCTTGCCATTCACTGGTCCCCGACTAACGTACAAAGGGTTTTAGCGCTAGTAGACACAGGAGCAGAATGTACTCTGCTCTATGGAAATCCGGAAAGATTTCATGGGTCTACTTGTTATATTGATGGCTATGGAGGCCAGAGTGTCAAGGTGACAGCAGTAAAACTATCTCTGGGGATTGGGCGATTACCCCCTAAAGAGTATAAAGTGTATGTATCGCCCATCCCGGAGTACATCCTGGGGGTGGATGTACTACGTGGCTTATGGCTAGAAACCACAGTCGGAGAGTTTCGCCTTAGAGTGCGAGTGGTAAAGGCAGACGCTAAGCATCCGCCCCTACAACTGCCAGTCCCTAGGCGAGTGACTAATACCAAGCAATATCGGTTGCCCGGAGGCTACAAAAAAATTACAGGCACAATATCAGAGCTGGAGAAAGTGGGCATTGTGCGTACTGCCCACAGCCCCTACAATTCGCCAGCGTGGCCGGTGAAGAAGCCCGATGGCTCTTGGCGCATGACAGTAGATTATCGTGAATTGAATAAGGTAGTTCCCCCCTTGCATGCTGCAGTGCCTTCAGTGGCAGATTTGATGGATCGTCTGAGCCACGAGCTGGGAATGTACCATTTTGTAGCTGATCTGGCAAATGCTTTTTTTTCCATAGATATAGCCCCAGGAAGTCAAGACCAATTCGCCTTCACCTGGGAAGGCCGGCAGTGGACATTCACTGTGCTGCCACAGGGATACCTGCACAGCCCGACTCTGTGTCACGGGCTGGTGGCAGCAGATTTGGCCCGGTGGGAAAGGCCATCTTCAGTGCGTTTATACCATTATATTGATGATATTTTATTGACAAGTGACTCTCTTACAGATCTGGAAAAGGCAGTACCTCTCTTATTAACACACCTGAAAACATGCGGCTGGGCAATCAACGAAAGCAAACTGCAGGGGCCTGGACTGTCAGTTAAGTTCCTGGGAGTTGTTTGGTCGGGTAAGACAAAGGTTATCCCTGAAGCTGTGATAGATAAAGTTCAAGCTTACCCCACTCCAACCACAGTGAAGCAGCTGCAAGCCTTTCTGGGTCTGCTGGGTTACTGGAGGGCATTTATACCTCACATGGCCCAGCTCTTACGGCCCTTGTATATGTTAATACGTAAGGAAGCCAGGTGGGATTGGTCAGCTGAGGCAGACACAGCATTTGCCACGGCCAAACGAACTATAAAGACTGCTCAGGCCTTGCAGGTTTTTGACCCAGCCCGACCCTGTGAGCTCGATGTACATGTTACTCAGGAAGGGTTCGGGTGGGGACTCTGGCAGAAATCAGAGAGGCTACGACAGCCTATTGGGTTCTGGTCCCAACTCTGGAAGGGGGCTGAGGTTAGGTATTCCTTAATTGAGAAACAGTTAGCTGCGGTATATGCAGCCTTACTAGCCACAGAAAGTATAACTGCCACAGCCCCTGTCTCAGTGAGAACCACTTACCCAATAGCTGGATGGGTACGGGACTGGACAACAAAGCCCCATAGTGGCACTGCTCAAACGCCCACTTTGGCGAAGTGGGGGGCATACTTAGAACAGCGCTGCACCCTGTCAACTAGCCCCTTAAGGGTGGAGTTGCAGGAGGTTCTTGGTCCTGTGACATATACTAGTATGGAACCAAATTCAGAAGCCTGTATAGAAGCCGAACCTGAAGCTAGTCCCTACAAGGAGAGTCGAGCACCGATTCCAGCAGAGGCCTGGTATACAGATGGCTCCAGCCGGGGCCAGCCAGCCTCTTGGACAGCGGTGGCTGTACACCCAGAAACAGACACTATCTGGTTCGAAACCGGGACGGGACAGAGCAGCCAATGGGCTGAACTGCGAGCAGTATGGATGGTGGTGGCCCATGAGCCTTCCCCTGTAGTAATCTGTACTGACAGTTGGGCTGTGTACAGGGGTCTGACACTGTGGATTTCCACATGGAATTTAAATGACTGGACAGTTATGCATCGGCCATTGTGGGGCCAGGCCCTATGGAAAGATCTATGGGATCTGGGGCATCAGAAGCAGGTGACTGTTTATCATGTCACAGGACATGCCCCATTAGCCTCACCAGGCAATGATGAGGCAGATACCCTAGCCCGGGTTCGATGGCTCGAAACTGCTCCAGGGCGGGATGTTGCGCAGTGGCTACACAGACGCTTGCTCCACGCAGGGCAGAAGACAATGTGGGCCACTGTACGTGCCTGGGGTCTACCTGTAACTTTAAAAGAAATCCAGACTGCATGTGAAACATGTGTAGTATGTTCTAGGACTTACCCCCGGAGACCTTTTGCATCTACAGGCCAGGTGTTGCGGGGGCAGGTACCCCTGACACGCTGGCAGATTGACATCATTGGACCACTACCTCGCTCCGATGGACAACAATATGCTGTCACCTGTGTGGACACTGCTACCGGGTTATTGGCAACTTACCCTGCTCCACATGCGGACCAAAAGGCAGTTTTGGCAGCACTGGCACGCCTATGTGCTGCATATGGACGTCCGCTGGTAGTGGAGAGCGATCAAGGGACTCATTTTACAGGAGCCCGGGTGCAGCAGTGGGCCAAGAACATGGGTGTTGAATGGAAGTTTCACACTCCCTATAATCCCAAAGCTGCAGGGATTATAGAGAGGTATAATGGCCTACTGAAGCAAGGACTAAGAGCCACTGCCCCCACTCAGACGCTGGCCGGGTGGAGCCGACGTCTCTGGGAGGTGTTGCAGACATTGAATGAGAGGAGCAGGAGAGGCGGCCTGGCTCCAGTGGAGGCATTGCTACATCGTGCCGCTGCTCCCATCCAATTACAAATAAAGACGTCAGACATCTTATTAAAACCGGGACTTGGACAGCAGGGCAACATCCTATTGCCAGCCCCAACTGGAGTGGACCCAGGGCAGACTGTGGACTGGGAATGGCCCTGGACAGTGAAGGCTCCCCACATGCGGTGGGTGGCTCTGATAGCCCCTTGGGGTCGTGGCCTGGAGGCCAATTTACAGATAAAACCATGGGTGAGTGCGCAGTGGCCGCCACGGGTGCGTGTTACCCACCCTGGAGTGACAGATCAGCAGGCAATCCTCAAGGGGACATTTGTAATAACTCTGTGGCCCATTATGAGCTCTCCACTCCTGCTGCATGTAGAACCCACTGATGCCTCTTCACTGGCAAAGCGAGTGTGGTATTCACGCCCTGGAAGGCCACTGATGCCAGCAACAATATTGTCTTCGGATGCCAAATTGGCATATATATTGCCCGATGGGAGGGATCTCCCATTGCTGGTACCGGTAACTTCTCTGTCCTTCCGCCCCTAGGAAAATTAAGTTTAGTCATTTTGTGGTGTGTTTGCTTTTGTGGTCCAGGGCTGCACTGTTTATGTTTGCTTAAAAAAATTGTACATACGTAGACTATGTGGCAGAAAACCCTGAGGGGGTGGACTGTAGGGTAAGGTAAAAGGTGTCGGGCTTTTCTGCCCTTCCGCCATCAGGATAGATGAGGGAGCCCTGTGATCCTGGGTGCATGCCTGATGGCGGGCACCTGAAGTGGGTACACCTGCGCTAAAAGACTGATAATATAAGGGTGGTGCAGCAGAGTGCGGTGTGGTGGTAGTGCGGTGTTAAGGGTGGAGGAGTGGAGTGTACGGAAGAGTGTTGGAGCGACTACAAACCACGGCGAAGAGCATGTGGCTGCTAGAACCGTTCATAAACCTGCTCAGAATGGGTTGGTTGCTTTACAATCATACAAGGAATTCACTTGCTAACCTCTTAACATATTTTATCTAAAATGATCTTTATTTAGAGCTTGACTTAATATATTTTTCACAGTATTGTTATCATTCCCTTTATTTTATTTCAGGTCTTTACATTGATGTTTTAAGCTAGAATGATATTTTTGTTCTTAACATCTTTAAATAAACATCTAAGGTTTGTAAGAGAGGGTATTCTTAGGGAAGTTGGTGGGAGATGGGTTCTTCACAATTTTGTGTTGGGATTCTGGAATTTATCTTTATGATGCTGTTTTTTCTATAGTATAATGGGGAAAAGGAAGAGTTACCTATAATTTCCTGATATTTTTGAATAATGATTAAGGCAATTTAAAAATACATTCTATGTTTGTTTTTCAGAAAACTTCTTTAAAATTCAAAAATGCAAAACGTATTGAAGGACTTGATAAAAACGTGTGGTAAGTATCTGACAGTAAACAATAATAATTTGGTGAGGTTTTTTCCCCATATTTTCTATCCTTTGTTGGGAATTATTTGCTTTATCTATCATCTGTAACTAAAAGCACTTGTTTTAAGGCAACAGTAAATTGGAGATGTTCTACAGAGGAGGGAGAGGGATCAAAACAGGTGAGGGAAGAGCACAAAGGACTATGGTGATGGTGCAGCGTGAATTGGTGGTGGGAGTGTTACAGGGACTACACCTGAGAGGAGAAAGCATACATTCTACAAAAATAAAGAATGATGTAAAATATATATAAATAAAATAAATAAATAAAAAACACTTTAATTTGTCTATTAAGTAGAAATAAAAGTAAGTTAATGAGCCACACACTGATTTACTCATTTAACAAATGTGCCAATCCCTGTGATAGGTGCTGGAAGGTGGCAAAGAAAATGTGGTTAATGTCTCATGGAATTTATCTTCTAATCTGTGAACTATTCTTATTAGCTCTCTTTACTAATGGTTGATGAGGTAGCCTGACAGTGGCTGGGATAATAAGACCATGAAGTAATAAAAAGCTAACTCTGTAACTGGAGTACTTATTAATGTTAGTGTTTTTTCATTTTAGGATTGAATTTACTAAGCTGGCTGCAGACCCCTCTGTTGTCAATCTTGGCCAAGGCCTTCCAGATATTTCTCCTCCTACATATGTGAAGGAAGAATTATCAAAGATAGCAGCAGTGGATAACCTGAATCAGTATACACGGGGCTTTGTAAGTACATGAGGACCCCATGTGGGACAAGAGCTGGTATTTTATATTGTGTATACATGCACATGTATCATTTCTCTGTAATTATTTTTCTGGGACTAAATGTCCCAATCTGATAACCAATGGAGTTATCAGATTACCCTTATGTCCTAAGATAGCTGCTTCCAGTTGCTTCTCCACAGTCCTCTTGTGGCCTTTCCTTTGCTGTCACTCCAGAATGGCATCCATGGCAACATGGGAAGAATATTCTCTTGAGGCTTATCTTTTTTCTCATTAATACCTACACAGCCTCAGCACTAGTTACTTAATTACATCTTCTCTTTCTAACTAGTTACTTTCTTCCTCTCTGTCTCATTCAAACCTCTGTCTTTCTGTGATGAAATGCCTTGGATAGCCAGAGATTTCTTAGATTCTGCAAAAAAAACTGCCATACCTTACTAAGTGAATTGAGCAGGATTGTAGGACCCAACATCAATAAACAAAAATCCATTATATTTCTATATACTAAAAATGAACCATTAGAAAGCAAAATTCCCTAAAATATCATTTACTGTGGCAGCAAAAGCATCAAATATTTAGAACTGGATTTGAAAAATATAGGCAAGAAACAACAAAACATTACTGAGAGAAATTAAACAATACCTAAATGAATGGAGTGGAGACTAAATATTGTTAAGATGTCAGTTCTCTTTAAACTGTTTAATAGAAGGGTTTGGCAAGCGATTACCTATGGCTCAAATCCAGCTAAAACCCCTAAAGTTTTATTGGAACATGACTATGTGCATTCATTTATATATTTTCCAATTTTTGTAAATTGTAAAATTCTGTAAATATGCAAGTGTTTATGTATATGTGTTTTTGTATTGGTATAAGCACCAGGAATGGACCTGTCGCCAGGCTATGGACACTGGCCACCTTGAAATACAGGAAGGAAGTGATACTAAGGAGAGAACATAGTTGTTTCTTTGCACATCTTTGCCTAGTTTTGCTTATTATATGAAGCTTGAATTATTTTTACAGTTAAAAAATTTTGAAAACACAGATCCTTATCATTCTAAGGAAAGAACTAGAGCACTTCTGGTTGCTTTCAGATCAGTCTTTGCTAGAATTTGTTACATCCAGTATTAAAATGGAATTCAAAGGAAATTTTTAATTTCCAGGACTGATGGCAACCTTCTCAGCTCTTTCAACAATTCATGTGTATTTTTTGAGCTTGAATCTCAGCGGTCTTTTCCTCTTGCTGTATTTTTAACTGCATTTGGACACTTAGTCACAACTGACAAAATTGCTGTGGTTCTCCAAAAGCAAAAAAAGGAGGGAGATACTAGACAGAAGATAAATAATAAATATTGATTTCAATGCAAAGTGAGATGAGGGGGAAAGGGAAAGAAAGAGAAGGGAGCATGGAAGATGAGAAGATTGAGGAGGAGCTAATCAAGGTGTTGTGAGACTCCCTAATTCTTAGACTGTGGTTTGCAATCTTTGTTCTTTTAGAAACTGCTACATACTGAACTATCAATATGGATGATGTGCTTTCACCTAACTTTTACTGTCACATCAGTATTAATGTGAATTTCTTTGGTGAATTTGTTTTTGCCCACCCCCCCCTCCATAATCCATTTGGAGAAAGAGATTCAGGCAATAAATAGTTAATGCAAGCTTGGGGGATTATTTTAACTGGGGGAAATAATCCAACTCTATTCAATATGATTTAATTATTGTCAAAAGTAAAATTGTGAAATGTGATTTGATTATTGTCAAGAATATGTTTGGTGTTAAAGTCATTTTTTTTAATTTTTTTAATTTTATGTATTTTTTACATCATTTTTCATTTTTGCACAATGTATGCATTTTCATCTTGGTTATAGTCTCCATACAATTCCCACCACCCTTGTTTTGATCTTATTCCCTTTTCCCTCCCTCTCCTTGTAGTGTGTCTCTGGTTTATAGTTGCTTGTTGATTTTGATTTTTACTTTATTATAATTAGTCTTCATGCAATTTGCAGCAACATGGATGGAGCTGGAAGGGATCATGCTCAGTGAAAAAGCCAGAAAGAAAAAGAAAAATATCGGATGGTCTCACTCAAAGCAGGAATTTAGAAAGTCAATTTTTAATCAAAGCAAATAACATAAAATTTTGTATTTCAAAACCAATCATATGATAGGAAGTTTTCAGTCATTACCAAGTATTCATGATCATTCAGGTGGGAACCATCTGAAAGCAGGGGAAAAATTTAAGTGTATTGCTATGTAAAGATACAGATTGTCTTTGGATAATGATAATTATAAACTTAAAACAAAAATTTTAAAAAATTTTATATTTTAGAACCAAATTTCCTCAAAGAAATAGGTCCTGTTATCAAATTCAAGATTTTTTTCTCTTTTACTCAATAGGGTCATCCATCACTTGTGAAAGCTCTGTCCTGCTTATATGAAAAGTTTTATCAAAATAAAATTGATCCAAATAAAGAAATCCTCGTATCAATAGGAGCATATGGATCTCTTTTCAGTGCCATTCAAGGATTAATTGATGAGGGAGATGAAGTAAGTATATTGACATAATCATGTCACTACCATTTGTCCTACTTTTGAATCTTTCACTTATTTTATGTTCTTTTTTACTTTATTTTTGAGTATAATAACTATGCAGTAAAGTTCACAAGTCTTAAATGTATAGAGTTCAATAAGTTTACATGTATATGTATGTTAACACAATGACTTTGATGTAACTACAAACCAGATGAAGATATAATACATTTCCAACACTCCAGAAGGCTCCAGTTTACTTCTCCCAAGTCTGTATTCCCCCAGGGGTAGCCACTCTTTTTCCTCTGTCACTGTAGCTTTATTTTGCCCGCTCTTTTACCTGATATAAATAGAATCTTACAGTATGTACTCTTGATTCTGGCTCCTTTCATTTATCGTTATATCTATGAGATTCATCCATTTTGTTATAGTTATTTATTATTTTTGTAGTGAACTTAGATTTAGATAAGGACAGGTAGAAGGGCTAGCCAGAATGGAAGAAAATTAATCTTCAGTTTGCACTGTTAAAATAACCTTTAGTCTTAACTCAATCAACAAGGCTTTAGTTAATATTTCTTAGTTGTTAGCAGCACCCTGTGAGGGAGGTCCCACAAGAAGGTTGAGTGATTTCCACTAGGTGGTACTGTGATGTGAAGACCCACTTTGGCATGGAGTTCAGTCAATTCTACTTTTTCTAATAACTCTGTGTCAGTGTTATTGAGGCCTGCATACTAGGATCTGTGGGAGAGGAGAATTTTCTAAAAGGCAGTGTCTATGTGGAAAGAGCCCCCTGTCTAATAGAAGACAGATGAGGAATGTATAGTCCCCTAGTCTGTAGTGGGGATCGTGTGAGTTACAGTGGTAACAGAAAGAAGAGATCTGAAAAGTTCTAGAGAGGTGTTGCTTTAACTGGGTCTGAAGAATGGATATTTGCCCTTATCTATATTGTTAATTCCTTTCTTCGAACTCTCATCACACCTTATCTGTACCTCATTTTATAAAAAGTCTCACTTTTATTTGTGCTTTTTTTTTATATATCTCTAATTCCCTCTACTCTGCTGGATAATAAACTACTTAAGGAAACATATTTAAGAAAGCACCCTCGTTCTTTGCTACACATAATGTCCTTTAATTCTATAGAACAGGTGAAAGTTTCATCTCACATTTTGATATTGTTTATCTTTCATTGTTTCTTCCTTCTCTGCACCAGTTGGAGTATGCAAGGCTCTGCCCTTCACCTATCTATTCTTTCTTCCCTAATCACCCTATCTATTATTTTGAAACTCATGTTGACTTCTATTATGCTGACCTGTTTTATTCTCTATAGCTTTTCTTACTACCTGAATTTATCTCCCTTATTTCCTTGTTTCTTTGTTTCTTTGAAGTCTCTCTCAGTAGAATGTAAGTTGCAGAACTAGTTTATTGCTATACTGCCAGAACCTAAAATACTGAGTGTTCAGTAAAAATTCTTCAAAAAGAGAATCATTCCCATTATAAAAATATAGAAATTATAGCAAAGAGTGTTAGATATATGCTTTCAATTCTGTCTCTCTGCCTCCCCAATTTATTTTCCTTTATTGAGTTCTCACTTCACATCAGCCATGGTGTTTCTCACCAAGGTTTATGAAGATAGGTTGCCTTAGTCCCTGAGAATTTTGCAGACTAATTAAGAACAAGTCACTTGAGGGAAAGATCCATTTCTGGTTCATTTTTTTCCTCTTCCATAATACCTAATCCCTAACATAGCACATTATGTTTCATGTAGGTAGTCATTGTGAGTTGAATGACTAGCACAAACGAAGGGACTTAAGAATGTAAGGGCCTCATATGATTTTAACAAGAAAGGCCTTGAATAGTTAATTCACATCATAGGAAATACAAACTGTGAACAGTGCACATGTACAACAATAATCAGGTTACCATTATTTTCACTAACAAAAAGTTAATTAAGACAACTTAGTGTTGACTCATAAAATTATAAATGGTTGGCAGATTTTTCAAAAGTAATTTAGGATTGTTGTCCACACAGGCAATGAAAAATTCTTCTAGAATTCAATAGAGTGTCTGCCATTAAAATAATAAATATTAAAACTACAATAAAAGGAAATTTTGTGAAGTAATTACTAGGTTTAAAAAAGAAAAATTAAATGTATTCAATGATAAATTATTGATGTTCCAATAATCATAAAAATGATAAATATAAATTGATTAAGCGATAAATTTAAATTAACCAAAGATAAATGGAATTATAAATATGCAAACTTTCCTTATAGAATAGCAAAAAGCCAGGGATGTGGGTGGGATACCAACTGGACTGATTAGATTGGTCCACCCATATGAAAGTCAGGCTAGTGATTGAGAAAGAAGATGTAGAGGCAAAGGAACAAGGAATAATCTCAGAGGGCTAGGAAAAAAGACATAATCTGTATATAAGTCACTGTGAGGGAGACTGTGGGTCAGGCAGTAGCCTCCTCAACCTGCATCTATCCTTCCTTTAAGGATGCTTTTTGTGAAAAAGAAACATCTTTACTCTCATGGCAATAATTATAACTTTGCCTTTATGATAGAAAGCATTGCAGTATTCTCTTTCCTTGTAGTTTTCTGTCACTAGCTGACATTTTATTTTCTAATTTGAAAATTCAGATGATGAGAACAATGGCCCTATTTCCCGGGAAAATTTACCTTTGCAGATAAAATTTTGCATGCAAGTTCAAAGGTCTCCACTGCAATCCCATCCATAGATCTCCCTAAGAGACCCAGGATTTCAGCTACAGCTACCTGGGACATATTACCTCCAAGGTATCTTCCATTTGAATACTGGCTCCATGAAGACAAAACCTGCTTTTTGCACTGCTGCATCTCACATGTCTCATGTCTGACACAATAGAGGTACACGACACTTAATAAATGAGTAATGATCTATATATTATATTTTTGCTTGGCTTTATTTCAGGTCATAATAATAGTGCCTTACTATGATTGTTATGAGCCCATGGTGAGAATGGCTGGAGCAACACCTGTTTATATTCCCCTAAGATATGTAAGTTTGCCAGTACAATTCCCATGCTGTAAGAAGTTTTGAAAAGACCAATTATATTGTTACTGATAAAGTTTCCACTTTGATTGTTTCCTGGGATTTATTACATATCTCAATTATGATAGAAGGTAGTCAGCAATTCTAAGGGGGCAGCTGTGGTTAGTTTATATGTTGTCATGTGTCTCTGTTGTACCAACATCCACATTTTATATAATATATTCTTTGTGGTTATGTGTCTCCCCCAACAACTGTGAACCTGAGAAGTCAGAGACCATCTGTGACTCACTACTCCCCAGTGACTAACAATGTGGGATATATGCTGGGTGCTCAATAAATGCTTGTTGAATTCTGAATGAAGTGATATTTTTAACCTGCTATTATCTTCAGGAATGTAACACAATGCTATTGCCTTTTTAAAAGTCTCACCCAAATAAATAATACACTAAGGTGAACTAAAGGACTTTTTTATTAACCTTACATTATCAGATATATTAACCATAGTGATAGCTGACTCCTTTGAAGGGATATAGGCACTATAATAGCTGTTAATGTTGACAGAATTCATTTTTCCACTTAACAAGTGTGACCATGCAACTCAGTTCCTCTTGGACTCTCAAGAGAACTAAAGCTTAGTTATTTCTACTTAATTTCTCTGTTAGTCATTTGTTCAGTTACCTTTGCCATGTCTTTCTCTAATTTTTTCCCATATTAGGTTATTTGTTTGTAAGACAGCAAATTTGAATTAATTGAATTAAATCACATCTTCATTCTTTATACTTAGAAACCTGTTGATGGAAAAAAATGGTCTAGTTCTGACTGGACATTGGACCCTCAAGAGCTAGCAAGTAAATTTAATTCCAAAACCAAAGCTATTATACTAAATACTCCACATAACCCTTTTGGCAAGGTAAGTGAATCTTTGTTCTCTCTCTGCCATCTTCCGACATATCCTTTTCTCACCTGTTGAATAGTAATTGACTCTGCTCTTATGTTTCCTTTAATATGTGTAGGTTTATTCCAAAGAGGAACTCCAAGTAATTGCTGACCTTTGCATCAAACATGACACACTCTGCATCAGTGATGAGGTTTATGAATGGCTTGTATTTACTGGAAATAAGCATTTCAAAATAGGTACTGACATAGACTCACAAGTCTAAATGATGTGTTTGGGCATGTGAAGAACTACTGATTGGAAAGGATCCCAAAACAATTCTAAATATTCTTTTTTTTTTTTTTTTAAGGATTTATTTTATGCATACAAGAGCTGGGGTATAAGCCAGAGGTGCAGGGGAGGGGGTGAGAGGATTCACCAGAGACAGAGTAGGGAGCATAACAGGCAGATTGACTGAAATATACTGCTGAGGGGAGAAGCAAAGTGAGACTGGATAGGGTCTGCTGCTCCATATGTGGGTTAGCTCTCTAACCAGGAATCGAACTTGTCCTGCAGTGACTAACTGCCGATAGCTTCATAGTGCTGAGACTTAACCCCTGCACCATCAGGGAGGCCCTCTAAATAGTCTTTGTAATGGGTGTCTGTCTATAAGAGCACTAAAAATGATATTTGAATGAATGATGCTTGAGTAAATTAATGAACAGATTGAAGGACAAACAGTACACATTTAGGGAAAGAGATTTCAGGTCATACTATAAAGTGATGAAATCAGAGAAGTGGTTCTTTTGCCTATATCTGTGCCTTTTTATCAAGAATCAAATTTTATGACTTGACACCTAAGACATAGGAAGATTAACTTATCCCTGACCTGGACTATCTCTCTGAACAGTTGACAAAATGCCAGATTGGTGGGAAAACATTACAAGGACAATAAACTATTACTAATTGGACTTTGCCAGGATTTTACCTTTTACTCCTGGCCTGTCTCACAAATGCCAGTATCTTCCGGGTTAATCCAGACTAATATCAGAGATAAGATTATAAGCAGGCTGCTTTCTTTGGATCGTAGCACTGGCCCTTTTCCTCCAGATGTGCATATAGCTCAGTCTCTCACCTCCCTTGGGTCTCTAGTCAGACATGAAATTTCATGATCGCATCATTTAAGGTAGTTGCACCTCCTTCTGGCATTTGCTTTGTCCTTTTACTCTTCTATTTTGTTTTCTGTAGCAAATATCAGGGTCTATGTTTTCTATTTCTAAGCTGCAAGAGATTTTTTTTGTTCTCTTCTAAATCTCCAGTTCCCAGAACAGGGTCTTGCATGTGGTAGATAATCAAAAAATAATTGTTGAGAGAGAAAGAAGTATGAAAATAGCAGGGAAAGGATAACTGAAATCACTGTGACAGAAGCCAGTTAATTAAAAAATTAGTGGACTTATTTTGTATCCTAAGTATCCCAATAGTACATGACAAATTGTTGTAGAGACACTGAAGAGAAAGCAGCTGCTTGAGGGGATCAGCAAAGGAGTGGACAAAGGATGAAATTAACTAGGCAGAGGAGTAGAAAGAAAATTCCTTTCGAATAAACTAATATGTACTCAGGTAAGGAGGCATGCAAACAAGAAATACTTAAGAAAAGTAAGTGGTTTAAAAGGTGGAAAAATAGGGTGATTCACATATGAAAATAAAGAGTCCTAACTTTACTGAGGAAACCAGTGGTTCTGAAAATGTCTTGAATGGTAGACACCTTGAAGTTATGATGTTCTCATCATGAAATTATGATATATTGCATTCCATCCTGAAGCTAGAAGCAATTTACCTAACAAAAATCAATAATTTGGAGATATCAATATAAAAAAATCACAATTCTGTGTGTTTGTAACAAAGAGCTATTGATATCAACATACTTGAGTTTTTCAGATTTTGCCATAAATTCATTTACTAAAATGTTAATTGGTTTCACTATTGGTAGTATTCATTATCAGATAAGTGGTAACACCAATCTTAAATGCTTAAGAAAATTTTGTGGAAGAAAATTTTAAATTGATTGCTTAAAAAGCTCTCTGTATTAATTTGATCACCAGAGTGTCAGTGAATCTACTTTGAGAACTATTATAAAAGGCGTGACAAGGTAGAGGAATTAATTCCCTGATTGGATTTGTTTTAGAAAGGTGAAGCCAGTTATAGGAGGGAATCTTAAGCAAGTAAGGTTCCCTGGCTCTGGAGATAACATTTGAGGGCTATTTGGAAGTAGAAATTATATAACAGAATACAGTGTTTGAAGATGGCAAGGGAACAAGAACTGTGATTCTGTCACCTTTTGTCTGGATCAGTCAGCAGTGATGAAACCCTAGCCAAAGATAGATGTGGAGGAGGAGGAGTCGATCTGTGAGGGAAAGTGAGCAAAGGAATGTCTTGCTTTATATGCTTTAGACTTGTGGAGTTTCAATGTCTGTGAGATATAGAGATGGAGGTTTTTGGAGACCAGTGGAATTATAGATCTGATGATCAGTATCAAATTATAAGGGAATACATTTTTGTGAGTTATCAAAACTTTATGGATTATGGAATCCCTGGAAGAAAAATGACTTTTCTCTCTAGAATGTGTAAAAATAAAGAAGGGTAGAGATTTGTAGGGGTTGTACCTTAACACAAAAAACTGTTGTTATATGTCAAAATTGTAATAGAGTTTACCTTCAGCCATCTTGTGGATGATTTCTCCTGTCATTTGAACTTTTCCCTGGTTGAAAATCAGACAATATTGTGTTCCATCGATGCAAAAAAAAAAAAAAAAAGAAAATCAGACAATATGAACAGTTAATTGTTTTTGTAATTTTTGGAGATTAAACATTGAAAAACAACTGTCTAAAGAAAAAACATCATTTTATACTCAACATAATACGTACGTATCATGTCCATGGGAAAAGGGACATGTTTTTTAGTTTTTAGATTTTTAGACTCAATTTAGCAATGTTATTTCCAATTGTCTTTTTAAATGATCTTGATGTGTACTCTTTAAGCCATTATATTCTTTAAATTTTATACTGTAAGCCCTTCATTGTAAAAAGTGTAACTGATAATATTACTTGCTAAAGATATCAAGAGATACATTTTTAAGCTAACAACTTAAACTTTAGGCTGTTATAACAGCCCATAAAACTTAAACAAGAAAAACTGAAGTCACTATTTCATTATTCAGAGTATAATGTGGTTGCATTAAAACTTAGATATTTTATCAAATACTGTGGCCTTTGCTACATGAAAGACACAAAATGGCTGAAAGTTAATACATTTATTTGCAGAGTGTGATAGTAGTTCTTTAATACAACACAGTAAGGCTCTCTTGCCATAAATCATGAAATTAGCATCATCTTCATGTTGTTACAAAGACAACTTTCCCCAAAGGAGCATTTTTCTGCATGTTGCTAATCTTTTTTTTTTTTTTAAGATTTATTTACGTATAGAAGAACTGGGGTACAGACCAGAGGTGCGGGAGGTGAGAGGATTCCCCAGAGACAGAGTGGGGAACAGAACAGCAGACTGACTGAAATACACTGCTGAGGGGAGCAGTGGGCAGACAGGAAAGGTCTGTTGCGCCATGTGGGTAGCTCCCTGGCTGGCCAGGGGATTGAACTCACGCCACAGCGGCTGCAGTGAGCTTCACAGTGCTATGCTCAACCCCTTATACCACCAGGGAGGCCCTGCATGTTGTTAATCTTTAACTTCTACTGAAGTTTAGATTGCCTGTGAATAACTATTATAGCTGCTGTAGCTAATTTATGGATCATGGTTCATAAATGAAATGTGCAAAGACCAGTTGCCTTTCAAATATCACTGTGCTTAACTTATAATATACTGAAGAAAAATTTAAATTTTTTTATTAAATTTGTCAGTCATTTAGAAGAGAGGTATATGAATATGCTGACATTTATATACTAATCCATTAATATTTGGAAATAATGTAAGATTTCTTGTTATTCAACTGATCAGACTACTTACTAAAAAAGACATCCACTTTTAAGTGGCTAAAATTGACAAATTAGTTTTCCTTTTTAATATTATAATTAGACTTAATATTTTGTGAACAGAGGCTACATTTGATGTCCAAGTGGTTTTGATTTTCTTCACACATAATGTATAGTGACACCATGCTGGGATTATATTCATTTCTCTGGGTAATTCTTACTTTCAAAGAATTTCTAAATCAGAATTTCTAAATCGGCATGATTTTGGATATATATTATCACTTTAAAAGAAGTGACAATCTGCATGATACATAGTGTGGATTTTCTCTCTGGAATAGACAAGTGGGACATGAGTCACAGTGTTCTTTTGAAATACTGTAGAAGGCTAGAAATGTCTCAAAACTTGATAGCATATAATTATGTCTAGCAAATGCTGGAATGGTCCTTAGAGCAGATTACTTTATGAAAATGGTAGTTTTGAGCACCTCCTTCAAGAAATGGCTACTTATTTTCTTTTTGTATGTACCAACACTCTAAGAAAAACAGAAAAACATCCTCTGACCTCTAGAAGACAAATGAAAAGTTTGTGAGATTGCCTGTGAAGAGCTTTACAACTAAATTACTTGAGAAATCCAAAAAGCAATGTTGGAGGTAGCATTCTCAGACCATTAACAGAGGAGCAGTTTCTCAACATCCAGCAAAGTTTACACTCATGCTTATTTATCCACATGACTTTGTTAGCTGCATTCCCATCATTTTCCCCCTTTTCTGACTGGCAAAGGCCTATGGGATTTCCAAGTCTCAGCTCAAGCATTACAGCTACAGAAAACAACCCTTAACACCTTTCTCTACCCTGAGTAGTATTTCATGCCTACTGCTGTTTGTAGCACTATCTCACTATTACAAGTGTTGTTTCTCTGGTCTCCTACCCACTAGACATTAAGCTTCTTGAAGACAGGAGCTACATCTTTCTCTAGATCTAGCTTAGTTTCTGGCACTTGGTGGTAGTTGCTAATAAATGTTAATGAGTGAATGAATGACCAAATGAATGATTTTATTACAACATCAATAAATCCTTATACAGTCATTTCTCATCATTCGCAGAATCTGTATTTGTGAATTTACATACTCCCCAAATTGTAATCACCACCCCAAAATCAATACTCATAGTGTTTCATTTGCAGACATGCAGAGATGGTGAAAAAAATTGAATCAACTTATTTGCGTATTCCCACTTGAAAGTGAACATGGCAATTTTCCCTCTCTGCCTTCTCGTCTTAGCTCATGCTATCAACAATATTCTTTTCACGGTGACTATGCTATTTAAAATGGTCCCCAAGCATATTGTGAAGTGCTATCTAATATTTATAAGTGCAGGGAAGCTGTGATGTACATTACAGAGAAAATACATGTGTTGAATACGTTCCATTCAGGAATGAGTTCTAATGCTGTTGGAATGGGGATTATTAGGGGGTTATACCTAAAAGGCATGTGATGAATTTTTTGGGAGTCAAAAAAATATTCTAAAATTGATGTGGTAATAGTTGTACAACTCCATGGATATACTAAAACCCTTGCAATGGGGGAATTATGTGGTGTGGGATTTTGTTAACAAAACATGCACACAGGAACACATGCAGAGATTTCTGGGCCCCCACCCTCAGAGTTTCTGCATCAGTAGGTCTGGGATGTGGGCCAAGAATTAGCCTTTCTTCCAAGTTCCTCAGTGATGTTGTTATTAATGGTGCGGTGACCACATTTTAAGATCCATCACTCAAGGAATTCTACAGAAATAGACTCAGAAAATAGGCAGAGTAGAAGGGGGCTAAGCAGTAGCCAAGGCCACAGTCAAGACCAGGCCACATAATGATTTGTTAAACACTCACTACACTGACCTGCCTGGAATTCTGCCTACTGCCACTCCTGCCCCTGAATAAATTTGCTCTTAAAATTATTTGATCTGTTTTATACATTACTTTGGTGTAATATTACAGTATTTTAAAGCTTTGTAACATATGCAACTATTAATGTTTTGGGTTAAAGTTACATCAACTTAAAAAATACTATTGAAATAACTATATTGACTATGCTATATTTATTTTCATTAATCTTGAGTATCTTTTTATGTCTTTAGATTATATAAATATAAATTGGTTGAAAGGCTTTTAATCTTTTTTTTCTTCCCCTATCCAGCTACTTTTCCAGGTATGTGGGAGAGAACAGTCACAATAGGAAGTGCTGGGAAGACTTTCAGTGTAACTGGCTGGAAGGTCAGATAAATAAGAATTTAATTGTTTAATAATAAGATTGTATTTTAGTTCTTATAAAGCATGTTATGTTATAAAATTCATATTCAATTTAAAACAGGGTTTTTTACATCTAAGTTATTCACAGCTTTCATGTTGGTCTTTATCCTTTTTGAGATCCAATCATTTCTATAAAAGTAAGGAAAAATTAGGTAATTTTTCATTTGATGCATAGCCAACTAATAACACTTTTTTCTTTTCAAAGAATGTTCAGATTACTGTATAATAATATATAAGGAAAAAATAATAATACTGGTACTTTGGTATTTGCTATGTGCCATACTCCAAGTGCATCACATGTACTGATTCATTTCATTCTTATAATCATATTTTGGGAGTGGTATAATATATTACTGCCATTTTACAGACAATAAAACCAAAATTCAGAAATGTTAAGTAACTTAAATTTTGTAAAGGCTAATAAGTTCAAACCAGGACAGGCAATCTAGTCTTCAGAATCCATGCATTTAACCACTATTTTGTGTAATACAATAACAATTTACCCAGTAAAAACCTGGTTATCTTCCACTTTACCTCTTCAGAACATGGCTAAGAAGTAGAAAATTAAAAAAACTGAGGCACACAGAAACAACTCATGGAAGAGCCCTATAGATCCTTATTCAGGATTATTTTTATCTATACCTGTAATTCAAACAAGCTTTGTTACTGATTTTTAGACCTCAGAATTCAAAAGTAGCAAATTAGAAGAAGGATAATAATTGCAGATGTGGTATTCCTTCTGAAGGCAGAGGTTAATGATTGCACTTGGAAACTTACCCCCAAAAAGCACAGGGTTGAAATGATTCAAACTACTAATGCTGCACTACTGCTGGTATAGTGTCAAATTGCATATATTTAATAATTCCATTAAGCTTAGCTACTCTCTAATTAGGTTCATGCAATTAGGTACATTTTTGAAACCCTGCTTGCATCTCTTCCTTTTCCAGCTTGGATGGTCCGTTGGTCCTCATCATTTGATAAAACATTTACAAACCATTCATCAAAACACCATTTATACTTGTGCAACTCCTTTACAGGTAGGTGTTGTTAAAGCTAGTTGAATCATGACTTTTTGGTGAGGGCTTTATTTTTTGTTGTTGAACATTTAAATGGACTTAGGTCTTCCCTTCATGTTCTCCTTGAGCAGAGCCTTTTAATATCATCTGGCAGTTTCAAAGCAGAAATATATTCATTGCTATCAAGATTAGCTTCTCTTTATCAATATACTGGCTTTTAATTTGGAACTCTCAATACATTGCTGGTGGGAGTACAGGGTGTCATAAACTCTACAGGACAATGACAGGCCAAGCACAATTATGGATGTGCTAGCTCTAAGAGCAGCAATCCATTGTCTGGGAATTACCCCTGTAGCTATTATTTGACAATGTAAGGAGCTCTTATGTAGATGGTCATTCATTGCAGTAGATAGGGATAGTCATTATCCATCTGTAGATAATTGGTTTAATAAATCATCATCTATCCAAATATTTAAGTATTGTATGATTATATTTTATTAGTTTCCTAATGCTCTGTAACAAGTTATCATAAATTTAGTGTCTTAAAACAGTACAAGTTTTGTATCTTACTGGTTTGGAGTTCAGCAGCTAAAAATTGGTATTAGAGGGTAAAATCAAGGTGTCAGCATCGATGCATTCCTTCTGGAGGCTTTGAAGGAGAGTCTGTTTTTCCCAGCTTCAAGACACTGCTTGCATTCCATGGCTCATAGTCACATCTCTCCTATCACTATTTCTGTTAAAGTACCGCTTCCTATTACTCTTTTCTGACACCCTCTTTTCCTTATAAAGATTCTTGTGATTAGTTCAAAGATAATCCAGGATTATCTCTCCATCTTAAAGCCCTTACTATAAATCCATTTGCAAAATTCCTTTTACTATGCAAGATAATATATTTGCAGGTTCTTGGTGTTAAGATGTGGGCATCTTTGGGAGCCATTGTCAGCCTTGTCACAATGACTATAAAAATAAAATGAGAAGAAAAGAAAAAGGAAGGATGACAGAGAACAAGGAAACTTTAATTTCTGACATGCAAAAATTTCCAGAATATATTGTAAAGAAGAGCAAGATACAGAGCAGCGTGTTTGTTTTTGGACACAACATTTATTTATTAAGATTTATTTATTTATACAAGAACTGAGGTACAGTCAGAGGCACGGGGGGTGGGGAGGGGGTGAGAGAATTCACCAGAAACAGAGCAGGGAGCAGAATAGGCAGACCAATGGAAGACACTGCTGAGGGGAGCAGCTGGCGAGGCAGGAGAGGTCTGCCGCGCCATGTGAGTTTCTCCCTGGCCAGCCAGGAATTGAACCTGCGCTGCAGAGGCTGCAGACAGCTTCACAGCACAGTGCTCACCAGGAAGTTGCACCACCACACAGTTGCACCACCAGGAAGGCCCTGGACACAACTTTTAAAAACGATTTATTTTCTGTCAGCCTTACTCCATTTTCTATTTAAGTGCCTGTGGAAGAACAGCGTAAGACCACCCAGTGGTTGTTCCAAACCATTCAGTGGCCTGAGCACTGGGAGTTGCTTCAGACCAGTCATCAGTGGCAGGCCGAGCTCTCAGTCTTCACTAAGGAACTGCTGAGTGGGCACAGAGGGCACCTGCATGCCCGCTGACCAGTCTGTGACCTCGGGCTGAGTAGCAGTAAACTCAGGAGCAGGGCAATTTATTGACTTTGTAATTCCTCCTTGGCCACAGTCTTTTCAGCAGCAGCCAGAGCAGTGAATGTTTATGCTGTTTTGTATAAGAAATGGAGAAAACTATTTGCATATATTTTCTTAAAGGATATTTGGATGAATCCCTAAGAAGCTAGTGGAAGTAGCTATCTGTAGGGCTAAAGGGGATGGTGAAATTTGTATATGGGGACATGAGTGAGTACAAGGCTTTTTAATGTATATATTTTTTATATTTTGTTCTATTTTTTTTAAAAAATTATAAAACAGGGAGCTACATACCACCATTCCATTAATAATCAGAACCCAACGAGAAATTATTTTTCCAGAAGACCAAAAGACTGAAATGTATTGGCCACAGTAAATATCGTTTTTTGCTCCCTGTTAAAAATATCTACTGAATGAGAAAAAATTCTATTAATATAAACTCCCCCCCCAAAAAAAAGTGTGTACATTTTTTTTTTCCTACTCACTAAAATAAGACTATCATAAAGACTGGTTCTGGTTCTGACATTTGGTTCTATTATTAAGCTCATTTCATTCCCAAAATTAATTTATTCACTTACTCAAAAATACTTACAGAGTATTGGAGGTAAAGAAGGGAAAGCTTCATGCCTTCATGGAACTTACAGCCTAGTGGAGGATACAGATAATAGTAACTATTTTAATAACAATATGTCAGATTTTGATAGACACAATAGAGTAAAATAAACTAGGGAAAAGAAGGATGTGGGGTACCATCATCAATATATGATGTTGAATATCATTCTCTTAGTAAATTGCTTTTTTTTTTTTTTAAAGGTTTATGCATACAAGAGCTGGGGGTGCAGGCCAGAGATGTGGGTGTGAGAGAATTCACCAGAGACAGAGTGGGGAGCAGAACAGGCAGATGTACTGAAATACACTGCAGAGGGGACCAGCAGGCGGGTCAGGAGAGGTCTGCTGCACCATGTGGGTCACCTCCCTGGCCAGAGATCCAACTCGTGCTGCAGAGGCTATGGATAGCTTCACAGTGATGCATTTAACCCCTTGCGCCACCAGGGAGGCCCCAGTAAATTGATTTTCTTATAAGACCCTCTACCTAATTTATTCCCTAATTTATTTAGGTAATTTATTAGGTAATTTATTTAGGTAATTTATTTACCTAATTTATTCCCTAATTTATTTAGGTAGAGGGTCTTATAAGAAAATCAATTTACTGGGGCCTCCCTGGTGGCGCAAGGGGTTAAATGCATCACTGTGAAGCTTTCCATAGCCTCTGCAGCACGAGTTGGATCTCTGGCCAGGGAGGTGACCCACATGGTGCAGCAGACCTCTCCTGACCCGCCTGCTGGTCCCCTCTGCAGTGTATTTCAGTACATCTGCCTGTTCTGCTCCCCACTCTGTCTCTGGTGAATTCTCTCACACCCACATCTCTGGCCTGCACCCCCAGCTCTTGTATGCATAAACCTTTAAAAAAAAAAAAAAAAAAGCAATTTACTAAGAGAATGATATTCAACATCATATATTGATGATGGTACCCCACATCCTTCTTTTCCCTAGTTTATTTTACTCTATTGTGTACTTTGTATTGTACTGCCATTCCTACTGTATTTTTATACTTTTTGGCAGCATTAAATATTTTTATTAAATAAAAAAAAAAAAAATAAGACCCTCTACCATCAAAAAGATTCAGGAAGGTTAGCATTTTTTAGCTATAAAGTATTTTTTAATTAAGGCATGTACTTTTATATATATAATACTATTACATACTTAATAGCTACAGTACAGTATGATCATAACTTTTATATGCACTGGGAAACCAAAAAGTTTATGTAACTTGCTTTATTGCAATGTTCACTTTATTATGGTGATCTGGAGCCAAACCCACAATATCTCTCTGAGTTGTACCTGAATTTATTTATGCCCTGGTTTGGATTCATTTGCCTGTTCCTGACCTGTGCCCTCTCAAACATTTGCCTGATCCTTAATAACATTGGTTTTTTCCTTTGGTCCAATTTCTTTCCTGTCTCTTCTGATTTTCCTGAAGAATGGAGAGAAGTTATGCTCCATGTGCCCCAGAAACTCATTTCTCTTCCCTAGGTTACTTAGACCACCTTCCTGGGTCATGAATCATTAGAGCAGGGATTTGCACACCTCTGGGGTATGACACAGTGGGTCAGCTTTCATTTCCACTACATCCTTCAAGGTAGCAGAAAGGCCAGTTAGTTTATCATTTCTCTGTTCATTGCCCAGACTTAGATCAAGCAAGTCATTCTACAGCTCTCCTCAAAAGGAAAATAGCAAGTCTTTTTATTTCCAAGTAAGCCATCTTTATGTGATAACCTCTTTTTCAAATTGGATTTTCATGGCTCATTCTAATTTCTCAACATTAAATCCGATCATCTACACGTAACTGATGACTCTGTTAATCTCTAGTTTTACATAGGTTCAGAAGAATTCAACTGCAATTCCCCAGATGACTTTTTTCCTTTATCAAGGAATAGGAGGAGAGCGTTAGGTTTTAATAGGGAAGAATGGGACACTTCTGCAGGCTGAGGGACTCATGGCAATCTAGGGATTTATGATTTGGGGGTGCCTCAACTCAGAGATCCCATCTGAAATGTCATTTTTTTCCCAACTAGAGATGGCCTGTTTAAATTGCATGTAATCTTTGGAACTTGACTGCTCCAGTGTCCTTAGCTCTCAGGAGTGAGGACCTCTTTATGTGCCACCAGGGGAGCTCCCTGACTTACATTTTCTAATGTAGGGAAATAACCAGCACCTCCTAGCTCTAGGTAATGTGTTTCTAAATTTCTTTCCTACCTGACCTGCTTCTGAAGCTTGAGAGAGAGATCTCATCTATCTTAACGTTCCTTCTATCCATCCTTCACTGATTCAGCCTTATTCTACCTCTGGCGGCATCCTTCTTTTGTCCTAGTTACAATGATGAGCTTCTTTTTTTTTTAATTTCCTTTTTTCCTCCATCACTATCCTTGCCCCTTGCAGTCCCCTTCTTAACCACAGAACCCTCGGGATGTTTGTTGATGTGCAGTAGTTTTGTTTTTGTTTTTAAGATTTGTTTTTATTTATGCATACAAGAACTGGGGTGTAGACCAGAGATGCAGGGGCGAGAGGATTCACCAGAGACAGAGTTGAGAGCAGAATAGTCAGATCCACTGAAATACACTGCTGAGGGGAGCAGTGGGCACGATGAGAGGTCTGCCACACCATGTGAATTAGCTCCTTGGCCATTTATCAGACTCGTGCTGCAGTGGCTGGCGATAGCTTGATAGCGCTGAGACTTTAACTCCTGTGCCACCAGCAGGCCCCTGCCCAGTAGTTTTTGAAACTATTTTGTGTTTTCAAATTTTGTCTCTTATACAACTATCTAATATTTGTTTTTATCATTATGACCTGCTTTGCTACATATAATTTTTTCAAATTCCTTCTATTTTGTTGGAAATGGCTGCAGTTCACCCTTGCATGTGACTATGTAATATTTCGTGGTGTCTATATACCACATTTTTTTGATCAGTTTGTCTGTTGAAGGAAATTTTGGTTGCTTCCATGTGCTAGCTATTGTAAATAGTGCTGCTGTGAATATTGTAAAACATGAGGGTTTTTTTGTTGATGATTCATAATTCTGTGAATATATCATACCAGAGGCCCAGAATGTGATTGCTGGGTCATTTGGTATTTCTGCTTTTAATTTTTTTAAGGTTAATCCAGATCGCTTCACATAATAGCTTCACCAGTTTACATTCCCACCATCGATATAATAGGGTTTCTTTTTTTCCACATCCTCGTCAGCACTAATTATTGTGAGTCTTTTTGATTTGTGCCATTCTTACAATGTGGAATGCTCTAGTTATAGTTTTAATCTCTTATTAACAGTGACAATGAACATTTTTTCATGACTTTTGACCTCCTAAATATCCAGAAGATCTTCAGTGAATTTTCTGGTCATATCTGTTACCCATTTGATGATTGGGGTTTTTTTTTTCAATTGTTATTGAATTGTATGAGTTTTTTTATGTACCTTAGATTTTAATCCCTTATCAGTATATATTATGTAAATATTTTTTTCCCATTCAGTAGTGTACTTACTTAGTCATCTTATATTTTCTTTTGCTTTATAGAAGCTTTTTAACTTGAGGTTATCCCAATGTTTCTATTTTTGATTTTAATTCTCTAACCATAGCAGTTGAGTCACCAGAAATACAATTATTATTGATATTGTGGAATGTATTGTCAATGCTTTCTTCTCTGTATTTTGTTGTTCATGTCTTATATCTAAATCTTTAATACATTTGGAGTTTATTTTTGTGTATGGGGTTAGCGAGTGATCCAACTTCATTCTTTTATGTATGGCTTTCTAATTTTCACACCATTTATTAAAGAGACCTCCTATTCCTCCTTTTGTTGTCATGGATGTTTTTTCATAGATTAGGTGCTGATATGTGCGTGCATTTATTTCTGGTCTTTCAGTTCTATTCTGTTGGTCCTTGTATCTTTCAGTACCATATTGTTTCTAATACTGTCACTTTGTAGTAAAATTTGAAGTCAGGTAGTGTAATACTTCTGTTTCTGTCCTTTTTTCTTAAGGTTGCTTTTACATCAAGACCTTTTATGGTTCCATATAAATTTCAATATTTTGGGTTCAGTTCCATTGAAAAATATTGCTGGGATTTTGATGCAAATTGTGTTAAATTTGTATCATTTTAGACAAGATAGTAAATTTGACTGTATTGATTCTCCTCATGCTTGAGCATGGGATATCTTTCCATCTTCTTATGCAGCTAAGTCTTTTTATAACATTTTGCAGTTCTTTTATATGTTTTTTTACGCCTTTGTTAGGCAAAGTCTGAAGTATTTAATTATTTTTGAAGCAATTATAGATGGAGTTATTTTTTTTAATTTTTTTTTTTTCGCTTCTTGTTCATTGTTCATCTATAAAAAAAGCTATGGATTTTTGTAAATTGCCTTTGTGGCCTGCCATTTTGCTGTTATCATATACTGTTTCCTGTAACTTTTTGATGGCATCTTTAGGCTCTTCATTATATAACATATCATCTGCAAATAGTGATAATTTTGCTTTTCCTACTTGGTTTCCCTTTATTTCCTGTGTTTGTCTGATGGCTCTGGCCAAAATCTCTAATACTAAGTTAAATAGAAATGGTGATAGTGGATATATTTGTCTTGTGCTGAATCTTGTGGAGAAAGTTTTCAGTTTTTCATCATTAAATATTATATTCCCTGTTAGTCTGTGACATATGGCCGATGTCATATTGAGGTAGGTTCCTTCTATCCCCATCTTGTTCAGAGTTTTTATCATGAATGAGTGTTGAATCGTATCAAATGTTTTCTTGGCATCTATTGATATTAACATATAATTTTATCTTTATTTTATCAATATATTGTATTATATTTATTGATTTATGTATATTAAAATATCCTTGCATCTCGGATCACACTTCTTTATAGTTTATAATCCTTGTAATATACTATTGAATTTGATCTTTTCAACAGAAATTTTTGTTGAAAAGTTTTACATCAGCATTCAGCAAGGTTATTGGTCTATAATTTTCTTGTACTATCTTTATCTGGTTTCAATTTTAAAGTAATGTTGGCATCATAAAATGTATTAGGGAGGATTCCTTTTTGTATTTTTAAAATCAATTTGAGCAAGGTGGGCATTAGTTTGCTGAAGGTTTGATAAAATTAACTTATCAAAAAAATCATCCTTTTGGAAGATTTTTTATTACTATTTCAACTACCATATTTGTGATAGGTTTTGTTCAGTTGATCTTTTCTTCTTGGTAAATTTTGTTGATTAGAAATTTATCTGTTTTTTCAAAGTTATTGAATTCATTAGCCTATAGTTGTTCATAGTAATGTTTTATAATCTCGGAATGGCCTTTTTGCCAATAATATCACTCAGTCTTTATTATACCAATAAACTCAGCAGTCAATGACATTACAGTATTTCCTCTTCATATTTTTCAATCTACATACAGGAAGCCTTAGCTCAAGCTTTTTGGATTGACATCAAGCGCATGGATGACCCAGAGTGTTACTTTAATTCTTTGCCCAAAGAGTTAGAAGTAAAAAGAGATCGGATGATACATTTACTTGAAAGTGTTGGCCTAAAACCTATAGTTCCTGATGGGGGATACTTCATCATTGCTGATGTGTCTTCACTAGGTTCGTAAAGGTTTTTATTATTTCAAAGACACAGAAACTTAAGTGTGAAATTATAGCACAATTGAGGAAAGATTGGTGTCAAAATATCTATGGAACATTGATTTTTACACAATGTTTTAAAACATTGATTTTACACATTAATTAGACCACAGAAACATGAAATAATGTATATATCTTTTGTTCCTATAAAATTTTAGTTGCCTTTTGTCTTTTTCCTTAAGAAAAATACTACTTCTAGAATATTGAGTGCCATCAAGGAATATTTGTCATTTTAGAATATACTGAAGTGAAGAAGGACAGTAAATATACTGAGCGTTTACTACATGCCAAACACTCTCACACTTTCAAAGAAAGCATTGTTAACTCTATTTTTATTTATTTATTTATACAAGCACTGGGTACAGTTAGAAGCGTGGGAGGGTGAGAGAATTCACCAGAGTCAGAGCAGAAAGCAGAGCAGGCAGACTGACGAAGTACACTGCTGAGGGGAGCAGTGGGCGGCAGGAGAGGTCTGCGCACCATGTGGGACCCTCGCTTGGGGGCCGGGGATCGAACCGGTGCTGCGGGCAGCCTCGCAACCCAGCACTCAACCGCTGCGCCACCGGGGAGGCCCAGTTAACTCTATTTTTAAAGCCATGAATACTTAGAAAGTTTTAAATAATTTGCCTCAAGTCACACAGCTAGATTGCAAATAGTTCTGTCTCCAGAAAACAATGTTGTTATATGTAATTCTGATATGCCACATAAAGCTGAAGTTAGAAGCATAATAATGTATTATATATTGCAATCTAGCTGTGTGACTTGAGGCAAATTGTTTAAAACTTTCTGATTTTGTAACATATCAGTCATTGTTATTTATTCATTTGTTGTGAGGGAAGCAGAAGTCATGATGAGCAGATTCTTGCAGTCCTTTTGCCAGAGAGCTGTTTGTCAGGCTCCCAAGTCCCATTCTTAGATAAAAGCCCTTAAGGTGTTCTATACTCTGAGGTTTGGAAATCACTTTTTCTATATTGGATCCAAATGTACAGCTTATTTCATGAAATGATAATAACATCATTTATGTTTTTTCTTTTGGATTGTAAATCTGTTAAGATTTTCAACATAAACTATGTTACCTAAAGAACATATATAGTTCATTTGCTTCCAAAACGAATTTAACTCATTAAAAGTCTTCTGTGCAGTAATATATGAAGAGAAATATGTTTATATTTTATAAAACAAGTATCACATAGGAGGATGAGGAAACAGATATTTCAGTCACCTAAGTTCATGTGGTATTATATATTTAGCATTAACTAGAGCCCAGACTTCAAGGCAGCAAAGGTGAATAGAAAAATGGAATTAGGTACATAATTTTTGGATAAAAGGAAACTTAACAGCTTTTTAGATAAGAGCAATTCTTTTCTGGAGTCAAACTTTTTATATGGTAAATTTCTAAAAGGAATTTATCACATTGTGACTTTAAACATAAAAAGTATAGTTATGCAGTTTTTTTTGAATTGTTACATTAAACTCCTAAATAGTTTTTCATTATATCCTTAGTTGATCCATCTTGCATACACTATTAATTCTAGTTCTCTATCTTGAACTAGTATAATTGTAATAAGAACAAGAAGGATTTTAGTTAGAAAACCTTTTCTGATGATGGGGGATTAGAGTCCCTTCTTTATGGTCCTCCTTTACCTATTGGATGGGGGGATAGGATGCTAATATATGAGTCTCCTACATGGGCACATGTAAGGGCAAGTTTGTTTTATCTTACTCTCTCATCTGCTCAGATTAATATGTAGATATTCTTCCACTCACTGGAGGTTGATTCTACCATTTTCTAAAGACAAAAGCAAATAGGACCTCCCTGGTGGTGCAAGGGGTTAAGCACCGCACTATGAAGTAATCCGCAGCCTCTGCAGCACAAGTTCCATCCCCGGCTGGCCAGAGAGAAACCCACATGGTGCAGCAGACCTCTCCTGTCTCGCCTGCTGCTCCCCTCAGCAGTATATTCAGTCAGTCTGCCTGTTCCGTTCCCTGCTCTGTCTTTAGTCAATCTTCTCACCACCACACCCCCATCTCCGACCTGTATCCGAGCTCTTGTATGCATAAATAAATAAATCTTAAAAAAAAAGATAAAAGCAATAAACGTTCATTTGATGATAGATTGAAAATAAAAATAATTCATGATCATAGTATTTCTTTCCCTTTAAAATTCATAGCAGTTACTAAATGATTAACATTCATTTATGATTTAGTAGGTATTATGCTTAGGATTTTACAAATATCGCATTCTCACACACAAAAAAATCTCATGAGTTTGGTGCTACTGTATCTCCATTGATAGATTAAAAAAAAATAGAGGATTGAGAAAGTCACTGAAGTTAATCAACTAATAAGTAGCAGAACAGGGCTCTGAGCCCAGAATTCCCTGTGAACTTATCATTTTTCTGCTGTGCTAAGCTACTATTCAGACCACTAAACTTCACGGTAAAACTAAAAAGGATAATATTTGATTAGCAGATAAGATGAGAAATAAGGAAATAATTTGAGATTAGTGAGATAATAAGATACAAAATTATTGAGGCGATAGTGGGAAATCAACAACCAAATTTGATTTTCATAGATTTCTTTAACATTCCAATGCCACTATACTCTGCTTTGGGTAAACAATAAGAATATCACTTGGAAGATCTACACATTCTCCCTTCATAAATAATGAGTAATATTTATTCATTCAGAAAATATGCTTTTCACTACTTATATGCTAGAAGATGCCTAAAAGTTGGGGATCATGATAAGTTGTAATGCAGACACTTGACCCTTGTGGAATTTATAATCTAATAATGAGTGATAAAATTATTACTGATAAAATTATTTGGGGATAAAATTATTACCAATGACCACTCTGTAGGTTTAGGTATTACTCTTTAATGATGATCATGGAGTGTTATATTATTTCTAGATGGAAAGACAACACTTCTTTCCTTCCTCTTTTCTGCTCTCTGATTCAAAGATCTGTATACATGCTTATGATCAAACAGATGTGAATACCACCTTCAAGAATCAGCAAAGTTGGCTATGAACTTGCTTCCCACCTACCCTGCAGTGGAACGTTCCATGAATTCTTTGAATATTTTCTGCGAAAATTTTGAACCTTGACAGACTTCAATGAAATACATGTTTTGTTAGATCTAATACTTAAACCATCTAATCTGTATTGTTTAGATGCAGACCTCTCTGGTATGAAGGACAATGAACCTTATGATTATAAATTTGTGAAATGGATGACTAAAAATAAGGTAGTATTTACTGGACTTTGCAATATCATGTTTATTTTATGTTTAATTTATTACAGAAACCCACTGAGATGCTTTGAACAATGTTAACTGTAGTTTTGTTACATGATATTTCACTCATGCCTACTTGGATGATTTGAAAGACATTTATATTTTTTGAAATATTTTGAAGTATCTATCTATATCTAATGTCTACAGTCTTAATATTAATGTTTATCGTGAGTAATTTTCCTATTAATTTTTCAGAAACTGTCAGCCATCCCGGTTTCAGCATTCTGTAACTCAGAGACCAAGTCACAGTTTGAGAAGTTTGTGCGATTTTGTTTCATTAAAGTAAGTTTTCTATTCTACTAAAGAACACATTTATAATGTTCTTCTTTCTTATTTATAAAGCACCTTTTTTTTTCCTACTGCTAAACATGATGTGTTCACTTGCAGTTTTTAAATTTTGGTTGCTGCCATGAAATTAACTGCCTGCCAGAACAAAACACAACACTGTTTGAAGGAATTAGCAGGCAAGGATATTAAAACAGATATAGATTATATTTAAGAAATTAAAGGAAAATATGGTCATAATGAATGGCAGAGGGATTAAAACTATGAAAAAAAATCAAGTGGAAATTCAAGTAAAATGTGTGGAGCGTAACACACAGAGGATGGTGGATATCATTAAAAAAATGTTCATAGAGGTTCAAAGAAATTATCCAATCTGGGAAAAAAAGAGAAAAATCTTTTTTTTTTTAATGGACAGATTCCTAGATCAATGAAACAGTATCAAATGATGATATATAAGAATTGAGAGATCTAAACTTAGATCTCTAAACTTTGAGGTTTAAAAGTTCAGTGAACTAAAACAGGATAAATATAAAGAAAAGCATACCAAGATACATCATAATAAAACTGCTAAAAACCAGAGGTAATGATGAGATCTTGGAAGCAGCCAAAGAATACAAAGGAACAGAGATATGAATGTTAACCAACTTCTTATCAGAATTAATAGAGACAAGAATACAGTTAAATGACATCTTTGAGGTGCTAAAATGTATCATCACACATTCCCCGGTAAATGGGGAAACATTGCCAAAGAAATGTTAGAGTGAAGGTACTTGTAGTGGGAGGAGACCCAGAAAGCTCTTGTTTCTACATCTTTTATTACAGACACAGCAAGAACCTGCCCATTATTCAGAGCAATAGAACAGTGGGTGTGTAGACAGTGGGAACTTCTTCCGACCCATGTGGAAGAGCAGGTAGAGACATACACTCTTGTCATGTAGAACCTACTTAAAGCAGGGTAGAAAGGAGATTCTGGTTGGGCTTTAGATTTGTGCATGCACCCCTGTCACTTTTGCTAAAAGCTGTGTTAAGCAATGTGGTGGAGATATATTAAATTGAGAGCAGCCAGTTAAATTAATTGGGAAGAAATAAAGTCTAAAGGACTTCCCTCTCTGATCTCTTCATCAATTTATTAAATATGACTATAAGCCAGGGAGAATGTCTGCTTTATTTCAATGTTGCCCTGACTCCTCCTCACACAAATTGACACACATCTTCATATCATAGACAAGCCAGCAGGCAGTGTGCTCTGTACCCAGAACAACAGGAACAGTGGGTGCACTAGTAAGGCGTTTACAAAGAGAATTCAATCAAAAATGAATAATAAAAAGGAACCAGCAATCTATAAAAAGATATTATAAGGGGGAAAGGAGAAAGAGAGAAGGAACAATGAGTATCAGTGAACATTCAACTAGAAAAATGTTGCCATGGAAAAAAATAAAAATTGTGATATTTCAAATTCAAATCATTTAAAAATAGAGATTTTCAAACTTCACGGAAGACAGAATAAGATAATATGAAAAGATGAAATGGTAGCTGTCAGAGCTCAGAGAAGAAATCAAAGGGAAAAAGTAAAGCAATTGGTGACACTTGAAACAGTACAGAAAGCACGGAATACTTCTGTAAGCACCTTAAGGTCTGAGAAAAGTGAGCCAAAAAAAGTTGAAAGGAAAAATATTAAAAATTAAAACGTATGATGTGAAAAACAAATGAAATATGCAAAACCTCTGAAGGAAACAAAAAGCAGAACATATGGAACTGGGAAAGAACTTTATAGCCTTATTTTGAAAATGCTTCCCGGGTGGGTGAAACACTGACAAATCTAAATTGGAAGGGAATGCCTTGTCTAAGGAAAAATTGTCACAAAATGATTAATACTACAAGCACCTTGTTTAATACGTTGGACTTTAAAGATTTAAAGATATATAAAAATGATCCTATGGGCATCTAGAAAAAAAGATGAAGATCACTCTCATTTATATCAAGATTCTAAGATCACAATTTTTATTTTGCTCATGAGGCAGGAGATGTGGGTCCATGTGAAGTTCCTTCCTTTACATCAACATTTAATAATAGTAGATAGTGAAATTGTACCACGAAGGGAACTAGAGAAAGTTGACACATCTAACTCAAATTCATGGAAAAAATAAAAATAAAAGCATAGCACAAGAAAATACCGGAAAAAAAGCAGGTTGAATTTATGGCAAAATAAGCCAAAAAGCAGCATTTACAATGGCTATGGATAAAATCCGTAGTGGTTGCCAAATTTGAAAGGATGCTACACCTCACTTATGATAAGAGAAATAAAAATTGAAACTGCAATGAAATCTTATTTTGTCTATAGATTGTCCAAATAACTAAAATGTTCTACAAGATCCTCATAGACTAAGTGTGGAGAATTCAGTATATAATTTATAAAACCTATACAGTGGTTAGTTGGAAATTTCCCATTTAAATGTAAATGCATATACCCTTTGACCCAGCAATTCTACTGCTAGGACTTTCTCCTGTGACTTTATTTACACATTTGAATGACTTATGTTCTGGAATTTTCAGTGAAGCACTGTTTATAAGAATAAATGGCTATAAACTACTAAAATATTCACTAATGGAGTCTACTTGAATTAATTATGGTGCATTCACATTAGTAAAAAAAATAAAATAGCTCTCCAAGTCATGATAGAGTATAAGCAAAATGCAATGAGAACAGTTTGTATAGAATACTCTCAGATAAAGGGAAATGAAGACAGGAAAGATAGAGGATCCATACACACATAGGTACGAAGGCGCACAGATCATAGATAGATGATGCGTGTTCTTAAATGTCTGGAAAGTCTCTGCAAGGATACATGATAAAATCCCATTGTTGCCTCTGGAAGGAGATCTGAGTGGCTAAAGGAGATACATGGGAGGCTGGCTTACATCTAAAAAAAATTCTTAATTACTCTCCATATATATGTTTCAAGAACTTTTTTTTCTGAACTATTTCAAGAATAAATTGCTGAAACTGCATTGCATTTAGCCCTACCTGGCCTGACAGTATGCCAACCTGCTGCTGTCCCTCTCCACTCCCCACAGCGAACCCCTCCTCTGGGTCTCCTGTACCGCACACCAGGCCCCCACTGTCACCATCACATAACAGCCCTCCTAACCCATTGTCAGCTCTCTCACTCAGGCAGTCTGCTGTGGCAGCTGCCTGCCTCACCCTTGTACCACGAAGGGAACTAGAGGTTCTAGCCCACACAGAGGCCTTGCTTACTCTGCTGGGACTCTACACCCCTTTCTTGCCATCACCACCACCTCTTGCCACCTCCTCTTGCCATCTTCCTCATGTCATTTGAGCTATGATATCCTGTACCCGGCTGCCAAGGTTCCCCTGTCCCCATAATTAGGTAATTTCTTCACTGAGACCTACCTAAGCCCTTTTGGATTAAGTCATTCTGGTAAAGGGAAATGAAAGAAAAAGAAGTAGAGGCAGAACAGGAGGCTAGATTTACACTTTAATTTTATACTATTTTGTAGATATTACCTATTCAAAAAATAAGTGAATTTTATCCATAATTATAACAAACTGGTAAGAGGGGCAGAGTATGTATGAACTCATTTTTCCTCATTTAGAGCGGAGAATGGCAAATATTATCTAAAGTGTAGAAATATGCATTACTTCAAATTTGGTTGTAACAGCTAGAACTCAAGCTAGAAATTACTGTAAAAGGTGGCCTGAGAGGGATAACCCAAGTAATAGGAAATACAGAGGGGAGGAACAGATAAGCTCTTCTGTACTCTTTGACTTGTTTCTGTAATTAATTTAAATTGGTGTTTTCCTTTTGGGTATCTGCCTTTGTACTTTTACTTTGAAAATGTTTTCAGTTGAGATCAGAAAGTCACTTAACTCTTCATTTATTTCTATGTTTTATATTTCATGTTTAAGTGTTTACTTCATCTTGAATTTATTTTGATATGTAATCATGATAATTTTATTTATTTACAGAAAGACAGTACACTGGATGCTGCTGAAGAAATCATCAAAGCATGGAGTAGACAGAACTCTTGATACTTGCAGGCTTGGATAGTTTCTTTTAGATGACCTGGCATAAAATAGTTATTTAGTGCTGCCACCTGCTGGATAATCAAAAACAAACACCGCTACAAACTAAAATTTAAAATAACCATTATTTTTCCAAAGAAGTTAAGCCCCAGAATCAGGGATCTGATTTTTACACGTGTGAGTCAGTATAGTATTGTGGATAAGAAGAGATGATGATTAATACATAATCTCTCTGTGCTTCGATTTTCTTATCATAAAGAGGGAATAAATAGCACCCACTTTGTATGAAAGTTGTGAGTTGGTGTATGTAATAATGAAAAGATGATATGTGCAAATTTTTCAAACAATAAACACTCAACTGATGTTAGCCAGTTTTACTTCTTTGCCACTGTCTACCACCTCTTAACCAATTACATCCCTTGCAACTCCATACATAGTTTCTTCCCTTCATTTACCTTTGGCTTTGAACTTTGTTTGCAGTTTGCCTCCTTTCCGAACTACACCATCATCTGAAATGACTTCAAGGTCCACATGGACTTCCTAGACTTTCAGTACTTTGACCCCCTCACCTTTGGTGAGATTCACGTCCATTCTGTTCTCCACTTCAGCCACCCACTTCCTTGGCACACCTTCAACCTTTCATGATTCAAAGCTGTTCCACCTTTGAGGTAATAAATTTATCCTCTCATACTCTAGTTATCTATCTTTACACCATTCTCTCTCCCTCCTCTCTTTCTCTTTCTGTCCAACCTCCCCAACCCTTCCTCCTCTCAAAATATCACTTCTTTAAACCAAATTCACTGTAATTCACTATCAAATTCACTGTTTCTCAAAACATGCTCCATCACCCTCTTAGACCAGAATCACTGGATCCCTGTTGAAATGGATTCTGAGCTTCACCCCAGCCCAACTGAATAATCATTTCAGGATCTGACCCTTGCCAGGTGATTCATAACACCCCCTAAAGTTGGATGACACTGCTGTCGTTTTTAGAAGCCTGTGTTTCATTCCTATCAGTAGTACACTGATATCTGAACTCCCTCATCCAGCTTAGATTTCATCCTCCAGCCCTCAAACCAAGATACTTGTGCTACTCTGAATAACTTGTTCATTGTCTGTTTCACCTACTGGGTCAAAAAAAGAAGAAAAAAACAATGTCAGTCCTGGGGTTGAAACTTCAAGTTTGCACTGGGCCTGCTGAGCACTTCTGTAGCAAAATGCATGACTGGGCAGATTCTAACCAGCATGAATACAAGTCATTAACCTTAACTAGACTTAATTCTTCTGTAGTTTGTTAATCAGAGTTTTCTTCCTTTTACCACAGCACAATCCTTAATATTTTCCCATTCTCCATAATAAAAAGATCAACCTCCATTCTCCTCACACCTCAAAGTCTGTTACCACCAACACAATATAGGGCATGACCTCATCTTCCATTTATTTCTACAAAGAACAAAACAAATGAAAAAAACAGCTATTCAGCCAGCACTCCCAAGGGGGATCCTACCAATAAGCCTATGACTTAAGTGCATCAGCATCCATCCTTTCTTCATTAATACAACATAATAGTGTGCAATAATCAAAATTAACAAACTGCAACTATACACAGCAACGTGTGTGACTTTCATTAAGATTTTTTCACAAGTTTTCCCCACAGTACAGAAAATCCTCACTTAATATTGACAGTATCACAGAACCTGTGAATTTAAGTGAAATAATGTATAACAAAAGCAGGTCCTCAAGGTCATTTCATTCAATATAACTCTGGCTTGTTTTTTTTTGTTTTTTTTCTCTCATTAATGTTGTAATAAAACAATACTGGACAAAACAGTTTTATTCGAGAACATGTTGTTCTTTCAAAGAATAAGCTGGAGATCTCAGTAGGCAGAGAGTCTGTAACATTAGAATCTGGAGCCTGAGTGCCAGCTCCAACCTTGGAGGCTGGAGAATTTCCATGCCCACTGGAATGAGAGTTTCTACACATTGATTTAGCTTTAGGATGGTCCACAGGGAGATCGTCATCTGGGTGCTCCAAGGGATCTTTGGCTAGGATGAGTAAAGCTGGCTTGGGAGGAACAAAGGAAAGATTTTAAATATGTGGTCTTGATGTGGTTTTTGGAGTCCATGGGTTTGGAGTGCGGGGTCCTTGGGGTCACTCTGGGAAACATTTCACTAGAGCTCCAGTTTCAATGACACGCAGCGAGTTTCCCAGGTGAGTTTCTCCACGAGACAGAGATGCTAGTTATATTTAAAGAGCAGGTTTATTAGGGAAAGGGACAAAAGAGTAAAAGATACTTGCATAGACAGAAATGGGCAGGAAGAGCTGCCCCAAAGGGACAGGTTTGCTGAGAGAGGTCTGCATGGTTGCAGGCGGGCAGCCTTGAGGAGAGCGGCCTCCGCTGAGGGAGGTCAGTGAAGAGAAGCCCCGATATGGTACAGGTCACGGGCAGGCAGGAAGGATGCTGCCCTGCAGAAGGAGAAAGTTGGTGAAAAGAGGCGCCTGCATAGGCACTGGTGGGCAGACAGAGCGCTGTCCCGAGCCTGTGTAGAAACTGCGCTGATAAAGTCCCTTTCTCTTTGGGAGGGGTCACTCCTCCATGGAGTAGCCTGTTTGTTGCTGATGTTGGGTAACTAGGCAAAACCAGAAAGGGACCAGAGATTCCAGGGTGGGCCCAATCTCCCTGTCTTTCCCCTCAAGTCTGTGCTCCACTCCCTATAGCAGTCTGATCCTGCTTGGGTCTCAGGCTTTGTGATAAGGCACTGGCGCCTAAGGGTCACGACCTCTACAGCTAGGTTAATGGTCATGTTATTCCCCTCGATCCCCACCTCCTTGTGTGAGTCAGGTTTTAGTGTTGGGCCATCTCCTTTCCAGTCTTTCTATTCTTGTCCTCCATCATACCCTTCGCGAACAGTGCAACATGGACCAAAGAGAATTTTTAAATCTGATCTGTCATGTCAGTCTTGGGATTTTAGATACCAAGTTCAGATCTGAAGCTTCTAAATGCCTAACTGTAGGCATAACCAGACCTAACTGGTTAAAGACACCTAATCGCTGCAGTAAGAAACTCAAAGGGCTTAGCCAAAAGGGTGGGCAAGAACCTGGCTGACAGTTCCTGACTCTGGCTGGAATACCCGGTTTATGCTAGCTCTGTGTCTTACACTGGTTCCCTAAAGATCACTGGTACTCCTGCTCAAATGAACCCTTCGATTTTTATATCAACAAGGCACTTTTCCTGCCTTGTTAAAGACTGGATTCTTGGTGTTCTTAAACAAAGACTTCAATATTTTCCCCCCTTTGCTTTTAAAAGTACATCCTCACATTCTTTTTTTGAGGGGACCCCAAGTTCCTGAGTCTCTTAGATCTTTTAAAGGATCAGTTTGGCTGCTGTGTTGAGAGTAGACTGCAGCGCAGCAAAAATTAAGGTGTGAAGATCAATTACAATAATTCAGGTTAAAGATCACAGTGTTGAAAGTAAAAGGATAAGAAATAATCAGCCTTCAACAAACTTGCCAAGGGCTCTGAGTTAAGAGGGGGAAGAGGGAAGGTTCAAGGGGATATATGAGATGGTGGGAAAAGGAAAGTGCTAATACACCCAAACAGTTGGAGACAATATTCTAGTTATGACCAACTATTGATCACCTATGGAATGGCTATTATGAACTGCACAGAGCCTTTTTAAATTTTGTGTTACCTCTTAAAGACTGGACACATTCTTCAAAGATACACATATACAGGTGCAGAGGAAAAATTGTTTTAATTAAAAGTAAATTAAAAGAAATGTTGATATATTTGCAGGTAAAGCCAAGAGGATTTGCTAACAAAGCTTAAAAGAAGTATGGGGGGGGAAAAGATTCAAGAATGACTCCAATTATTTTTTAAAGATTTATTTATTTATGCATACAAGAACTGGGGCACAGGCCAGAGGTGTTGGGGGGAGGTGAGAGGATTCACCAGAGACAGAGCGGGGATCAGAACAGGCAGACTGACTGAAATACACTGCTGAGGGGAGCAGTGGGCGAGTCAGGAGAGGTCTGCTGCACCATGTGGGTAGCTCCCTGGCTGGCCAAGGATCGAACTCGTGCTGCAGAGGCTGCGTATAGCTTCATAGTGCAGTGCTTAACCCCTTGCACCACCAGGGAGGCCCTTAGTCCAATTTTTGTCCTGACCAACTGGAAGGATTAAGTGACATCTCTGAAGTCCAGAAGGTAACAGGAGGACCAAGCCTTGGGGAAGATCAGGAAGTCAGTTTTGAACGCATTAAATTTAAGATGCCCATTCAGCTCTCAGATGGATATCTTACCTAGGCAACTGAATAGTCGTAGACAGAGATTTGAGAAAGAAAAGACACATTTGCAAGTCTGAGGCTCATTAATATTTTAAAGACATGAATCTTGATAAGAACACCAAATATATCAATATTAGCAATAAGACTAATGTCTTAGCCGTGGATGTCTGAGAAAATTTAATGCCAAGTGGATCAAAAAGTTTTCCCTGGGCCTCCCTGGTGGCGCAGCGGTTGAACGCTGGGTTGCGAAGCTGCCCGCTGCCTCTGCAGCGCCGGTTTGATCCCCGGCTGCTCCCCGGCCACCAGAGGAGGGTCCCACATGGCGCGCAGACCTCTCCTGCCGCCTGCTGCTCCCCTCAGCAGTGTACTTTGGTCCTTCTGCCTGCTCTGCTCCCCGCTCTGGCTCTGGTGAATTCTCTCACCCTCCCGTGCTTCTGACTGTACCCAGTGCTTGTATAAATAAATAAAATAAATCTTTAAAAAAAAAAAAAAAAGTTCTCCCTATTGGGCCTTCCCTGGTGGCGCAGTGGTTGAGCGCTGGGCTGAGAGGCTGCCAGCTGGGCTGTAGAGGCTTCTACAACGCACCGGGCTGGTGAGGGTCCCACAAAAAAAAAAAATAAGTTTTCCTTATTTGGTGACTCCACTTTCACACACACACACACAGACACTCCCCATTTACCCACAATCCTCTGCTCTGGCATCCACACCCAGTATTGTTCTGAATTCTCTAATGACTTCCACATTCCTAGATTTAAAGGGAACTTTTCAATTTCACCTGACTTTACCTTTTAGTCTTTGCCGCTGCAGACCATGCTGGGCTACTTAAAATCGGCCTTTTCTTGTTTTTGTTCTTGTGTTGCTGCCCATTTGTGAGATGCCTCCTGCCTCTCTGACTGGTCCTTCTGTGCTTATTCCTTACATATTGGGTTTTTGTCTTTCTTACTAAATAACTTCACTCTTCGGGCCTCCCTGGTGGCACAAAGTGATAAGCACAGCACTATGAAGCAATCCACAGCACTAGGGAGAAACCCACATGGCGCAGCAGACCTCTCCTGCCTTACCAGCAGTTCCTCTCAGCAGTGTACGTTACCTGCTTTGTCTCTGATGAATTCTCTCACCCTCACGTGCCTCTGGCCTGTACCCCAGCTCTTGTATAAAAATAAAAATAAACCTTTAAAAAAATATTCATGGTATAATTTATAGAAAGCCTAATCCAGATGGGTTTAAATTTTCTTTCTTTTTTTTTTTAAAGATTTTATTTATTTATGCATACAAGAGCTGGGGTGTAGGACAGAAGTGAGGGGTGGGGGGAGGTGAGAGGATTCACCAGAGAGAGAGTAGGGAGGCGAACAGGCAGATCCACTGAAATACACTGCTGAGGAGAGCAGTGGACAAGACAGGAGAAGCCTGCTTATCAAACCCATGCTGCAGAGACTGCCGATAGCTGAGTCATAGTGCTGAGACTTAGCCTCTTGCACCACCAGGGAGGCCCCAAGATGTGTTCAAATTTTCTTAAAGGAATTTTCTGTCTCAATTGAACATTTTAGGAGTTTCTATGACATTTGGTTTCAGTTACAGCTTGATCCAGGGCTCAAATTATAATCCGTCACCAAGTCCATCTCATAGTTCCGTCCTCTCTGGGTTGGCTTTATCTGCAAATTGCCCTTCCTATCATAGCAGCACAGCTGCTGCATTGTCTTAGCATAATTTGGTCATACTAACAAAATCCAGCAAAAGATGACAATTCCTCTGGCAACTTCAGAAAACAGTATAGAGTATATAGCTGGATCATGTGCACAAATATATGATCAAATATTACTCTGGATATTTCTGTGGGGGTGTTTCTGGATGAGATTAACACATAAATCAATGGATTTTGGAAGTTAATTGCCCTCCATAATGTGGGGGGAGCTGTTTCTCCCAAGCAAAGGGACTTCTGCCATCAGAAGGACTTCCAATGTAAACTGTCTCTTTCTCAGTCTCTAGTCTGTTGGCCCACCCTGCAGATTTTGAACTTGTCAGCCTTGTATAAGTCCATTTCGTAAAATATATATACCGATCTATCTTTATCCCTCCCTCCCTTCCTTCCTTCCATTTATTAGTCACACACACCCTATAGGTTCTGTTTCTCTGGAGAACTCTAACATAGGTAGATTAGGAAAAATGAAGATAAATCGTAAATTCACAAAGTTAATAAAGAAACCATTCGAGGCCTCCCTGGTGGCCTAGGTGTTAAGTCTCAGCGCTATCACCACTACAGCCTGAGTTCGACCCCCAGAGAGTTAATCCACACATGGCACAGCAGACCTCTCCTGTCTTGCCCGCTGCTCCCTTCAGCAGTGGATTTCAGTAGATTCATCTGTTCTGCTCCTCATTCTGTCTCTGGTGAGTCATCTTACCCCACTCCCACCTCTGACCTATACTCCAGTTCTACACAAAATAAATAAATATATAAACTGTGACTTTATTTGCCTGCAGTGAGAAATGAAGAAATGAACTCCATTTAGTAAGCAATGATGAATTTTTGAAAAT